CAAAATGAAAAACTGTAAGCACCATCACGTTCTCCACAGTTTTCTTCATATAATTCACCATAAGCAGTTTTACAGTAATTGTTTATCATGCCAATGTACCATTTTCTGTATCAAATATTATGAAAATAATACAAATTGGTACCGCTGGAAACTTATTAACTAAAAAGGCAATAACGAAGAAGATAATCCACGCTCGTGAACTTGTTATTATTTCCTTTACTTCTAACAATCTTCCACCGCCAGAACCGGCATCGTGAGCAACGTGGAGCACACTCCACTAAATATTCATGACAAATTTTAAAAGCACATCTGCAACGGACGGGCAATTTCCCTTCTTATAATTGCTCTGTTAGAAAATATACCGCTTGTTGATGTCGCTACGGATGACGCTTTTACATTTTGTGTCATGACCAACTTCCATCTCATTTTACAAAACCGGAACAGAACAAATACAAAATAAACGGGAAAGGAATTCGGAGATGGAAGCGATAATATTTGTAACCTGTTAAAAACTCTTCCGATTCTGAAGTTGACTCGAGTGCATTACAAGATTTATGTAGATGTCTGCTTTATTATTGACTAGTGACCCGCCCCAGCTTCGCACGGGTGTTTTGTTTAGATTATTATCGAAAAGAGGAAATCTTCAAAAGATATCACCTGAACATACTAAATATACTACAGAATATCTTTAACATGTCAACATTGACAGTTTTTTTGTCATTAGACAATACAAACCGGCCTCCCGGCCGGTACCGCCGCAACCGCCATGTCCCTGCATTTTAAATCTGTAATATCTTCGAAAATATTCATTTAAATTACATGCTGTAAAGGGCCATATTGATCTATATTTAATGTACAATGTATTTAAAACTACTTAATTGGATAAGAATTAATGCTGTATTGCTTAAAATCGCTTCGTAAATAAGCCATTATTTCTCGTAAAAAGTAAAGGATAAAAAATGGTTATTGTGGGTTATCCCTAAGAGATAGACATATACCATCCCGGACTTTTTTGTAGACCCTTTTAAGATGTACAATATTGTAGTACATTATTTTGATCTATCTCGTAGGGTTCAGCCAGCGTTTGCAATGTAAGCGCAAAAAATGTGTTTATTTACGACATCACATTAGAAACCTCTAAAATTATCAGTGTTTCCCTACTATATTATGCATGTATTATACATATAAACCTTCCTCTTGAATCACTCTATCTTTTAAAAAAAACCGCATCAAAATCCGTTGCGTAGTTTTAAAGATTTAATCATACATAGGGACAGACAGCGGGAAGCGACTTTGTTTTATACTATGTAGTGATATTGTAGTTTCAGAACCTCCAAACGTGGTCGATAAATCGAGTCTATAAATCGAAAATCAACTGACTCTCTGTTTGTTTTGTTCTACGGAATTTTTGTCAATTAATTGTATCATTCTCCTATCAACATATTATTTCACTAAAAATATGTAACCAAATTAGTCATTCACGTTGCAAAACTTAACGAGCGCTTTTTTGGTTACATAATCTTTACGACTTCAAGCCTATCCTTAGTAATATTCCCCTTCTTGTAAATCTAAATAGAAAACTGCGAACACCTCCATTTACTGCATAATTTTTCCCACATATTTCACTATGAATAGGTCTCAAAATAATTGTTTGTCACATCAAAAATTATAATGCGCTTTTTAGGTGACAGTATCTCGTATTCGGTGTTGACGAAAAATTCAAAATTTTCAAGCAGTTTTACAGTAATTGTTTATCATGCCAAAAATTAAAGTGCGCTTTTATGGTTACAGTATTTTTGACCTATTTTTAGGATATTATTACAGATATCTCCTTTATTTTAACTCCAAATAAAAACTGTAGGCACCATCACGTTCTCCACAGTTTTCTTCATATAATTCACCATAAGCAGTTTTACAGTAATTGTTTATCATGCCTAAAATTAAAGTGTGCTTTTATGGTTACAGCATTTTTGACCTATTCTTAGGATATTATTACAGTTACTTCCTTTATCTTCAATCAAACTGAAAAACTGTAAGCACCATCACGTTCTCCACAGTTTTCTTCATATAATTCACCATAAGCAGTTTTACAGTAATTGTTTATCATGCCAAAAATTAAAGTGTGCTTTTATGGTTACAGTATTTTTGACCTATTCTTAGGATATTATTACAGTTACTTCCTTTATCTTCAATCAAACTGAAAAACTGTAAGCACCATCACGTTCTCCACAGTTTTCTTCATATAATTCACCATAAGCAGTTTTACAGTAATTGTTTATCATGCCAAAAATTAAAGTGCGCTTTAATGGTTACAGAATTTTTGACCTATATTTAGGATATTATTACAGATATTTCCTTTATTTTCAATCAACATGAAAAACTGTAAGCACCACCACGTTCTCCACAGTTTTCCTCATGTAATTCACCATGAGCAGTTTTACAGTAATTGTTTATCATGCCAAAAGTTAAAGTGCGCTTTAATGGTTACAGAATGTTTGACCTATTTTTAGGATATTATTACAGATATTTCCTTTATTTTCAATCAACATGAAAAACTGTAAGCAGCATCACGTTCTCCACAGTTTTCTTCATATAATTCACCATAAGCAGTTTTACAGTAATTGTTTATCATGACAAAAGTGAAAGTGCGCTTTTATGGTTACAGAATTTTTGACCTATTTTTAGGATATTATTACAGATATTTCCATTATTTTCAATCAAACTGAAAAACTGTAAGCACCATCACGTTCTCCACAGTTTTCTTCATATAATTCACCATAAGCAGTTTTACAGTAATTGTTTATCATGCCAAAAATTAAAGTGCGCTTTTATGGTTACAGTATTTTTGACCTATTTTTAGGATATTATTACAGATATTTCCTTTATTTTCAATCAAACTGAAAAACTGTAAGCACCATCACGTTCTCCACAATTTTCTTCATATAATTCACCATAAGCAGTTTTACAGTAATTGTATATCATGCCTAAAATTAAAGTGCGCTTTTATGGTTACAGCATTTTTGACCTATTTTTAGGATATTATTACAGATATTTCCTTTATTTTCAATCAAAATGAAAAACTGTAGGCACCACCACGTTCTCCACAGTTTTCTTCATATAATTCATCATAAGCAGTTTTAAAGTAATTGTTCATCATGTCAAAAGTTATAGTGCGCTTTAATGGTTACAGAATTTTTGACCTATTTTTAGGATATTATTACAGATATTTCCTTTATTTTCAATCAAAATGAAAAATTGTAGGCACCACCACGTTCTCGACAGTTTTCTTTATATAATTCACCATAAGCAGTGTTACAGTAATTGTTCATCATGCTAAAAGTTAAAGTGCGCTTTAATGGTTACAGAATTTTTGACCTATTTTTAGGATATTATTACAGATATTTCCTTTATTTTCACTCAAAATGAAAAACTGTAGGCACTATCACGTTCTCCACAGTTTTCTTCATATAATTCACCATAAGCAGTTTTACAGTAATTGTTCATCATGCCAAAAGTTAAAGTGCGCTTTAATGGTTACAGAATTTTTGACCTATTTTTAGGGTATTATGACAGATATTTCCTTTATTTTCAATCAAACTGAAAAACTGTAAGCACCATCACGTTCTCCACAGTTTTCTTCATATAATTCACCATAAGCAGTTTCACAGTAATTGTTTATCATGCCAAAAGTTAAAGTGGGCTTTTATGTTTACAGAATTTTTGACCTATTTTTAGGATAGTATTACAGATATTTCCTTTATTTGCAATCAAAATGAAAAACTGTAAGCACCATCACGTTCTCCACAGTTTTCTTCATATAATTCACCATGAGCAGTTTTACAGTAATTGTTTATCATGCCAAAAATTAAAGTGTGCTTTAATGGTTACATCATTTTTGACCTATTCTTAGGATATTATTACAGTTACTTCCTTTATCTTCAATCAAACTGAAAAACTGTAAGCACCATCACGTTCTCCACAGTTTTCTTCATATAATTCACCATAAGCAGTTTTACAGTAATTGTTTATCATGCCAAAAGTTAAAGTGCGCTTTAATGGTTACAGAATTTTTGACCTATTTTTAGGGTATTATGACAGATATTTCCTTTATTTTCAATCAAACTGAAAAACTGTAAGCACCATCACGTTCTCCACAGTTTTCTTCATATAATTCACCATAAGCAGTTTCACAGTAATTGTTTATCATGCCAAAAGTTAAAGTGGGCTTTTATGTTTACAGAATTTTTGACCTATTTTTAGGATAGTATTACAGATATTTCCTTTATTTGCAATCAAAATGAAAAACTGTAAGCACCATCACGTTCTCCACAGTTTTCTTCATATAATTCACCATGAGCAGTTTTACAGTAATTGTTTATCATGCCAAAAATTAAAGTGTGCTTTAATGGTTACATCATTTTTGACCTATTCTTAGGATATTATTACAGTTACTTCCTTTATCTTCAATCAAACTGAAAAACTGTAAGCACCATCACGTTCTCCACAGTTTTCTTCATATAATTCACCATAAGCAGTTTTACAGTAATTGTTTATCATGCCAAAAGTTAAAGTGCGCTTTAATGGTTACAGAATTTTTGACCTATTTTTAGGATATTATTACAGATATTTCCTTTATTTTCAATCAACATGAAAAACTGTAAGCACCACCACGTTCTCCACAGTTTTCCTCATGTAATTCACCATGAGCAGTTTTACAGTAATTGTTTATCATGCCAAAAATTAAAGTGCGCTTTTATGGTTACAGTATTTTTGACCTATTTTTAGGATATTATTACAGATATCTCCTTTATTTTAACTCCAAATAAAAACTGTAGGCACCATCACGTTCTCCACAGTTTTCTTCATATAATTCACCATAAGCAGTTTTACAGTAATTGTTTATCATGCCTAAAATTAAAGTGTGCTTTTATGGTTACAGCATTTTTGACCTATTCTTAGGATATTATTACAGTTACTTCCTTTATCTTCAATCNGTTGACCGTTTTTAAGAAGAAAACATTTTAATTGAGAAATTATAAATACAAAAGGTAACACAATGGTTTTCATAAGAAAAATGTACAAAAATAGATATCAATTAACAATTACATGGGAAGGAAAAATTATTTTTAACATCTTTCGAACACTTTGTACAAATTCGGTAGATTGGCAAGTTCAACAATAGCCGCATTATTAATAAATGATTTCGGTGGTAGAAAAAAGTCTTTAATGGCAGGATAAAAAACATGTTCCACAAGCCACTTCCAGTTGTGCTTTTCATCCGAATCATTTTCTTCTATAAACGAATAATATTTTGCAGTTTCCCTGGCAAACGTTTCAAAGCACTCCAACTCCGATTCCCAGTTGACTTCCGTCGCAAGTCTTAACAAATACATGGGCAAACCTGTCATTTCCGGTACGTGTTTGTCTATAAAATTCCAATGGAAAAATCAATTAATTATACGAGTAATTCTCTGGTTCAATTAGTTTTAAATAAGAAACTACTAAAGTAAAGTGTCTGCAAAGTAGAAAAATAATCATGTACATACCTAGCAAAAGTGGTAAAGTCTTCAGGTCTCCATTTTCGTCGATTTCTAGAGTGAAATATTCTTTTAGCATTTCACCCTTCTCTGTCAAAATTTCTGTTACTTTTTCGGCCAATTCATTCTTGTCGCCGTCTTCGGGAGTCCACCCTGTTTCTGGTAATTTGAGAGCCTCCAAGGCTAGTTTTTTTACAGACAGCGGATCGCTAAATGATATGATACCGAAATTTTGAAAATTATACATGACAAACTGATAAAACAGTTCCTCCATTATTTGTTGTGTGTTGCACATGTAAAGCTTTGTGCCGTGCTGAATGAGGGCCTGCGAAGGGTCTATACAACCCACGAAAACATGCTGGTTGAATAATTCACGCATTGCAGGGTGGCAATTGCCTTCAATCTTTTTTCGAAGTTCTAGCACGCTTGTTAATTCACATTCAACCCTGAAAAGAATTAAAGATTTTTATTTGTTTAAGAATTTAATACAAATAATGAAACATTTGAAATTAAGTGCTTAAGTATGTATTTTAAGAAGAAAAGACCTACGTGGTCACTTCCAATTCCTTGGTACGACTTAGAACAACACCCCCAACTGGATTGAATCCAACATCTGTTTTCATTTTCTTCTTTGGACTTGGACTATGTTCGATCGTTTTGTTCAACAGTTTTGATTCAAACTTTTCGTTGTCGATTAAAAATTGTTTATTTCTTTCTTCGAACAACTTGTCTTCAGGATTAGTTACTACTTTGTTATCGACGTTATCATCGTCATTACGATCAGTTATTTGCATCGTTTCCATTTTTTTTGTGGTTGCCCCAAAAAATTTTTCAAGTTTTTGATTGGACGAGTCAGTTCTTACAAGTTCCTTGGGGTAAACCTTTTCCGATTTTTCTTTTGGCGAACTTTGAATAGTATTGGATGTTACAATAGGTAATTTTGCCTTAAAATTGCTTTCGGATTAAAAAAAGAACTCTAGAAAATATATTTTCTTTTTTTTGATACCTGTGTAAAGTATACTCGGGAATTGTTACAGCCCAATAATTTCTTTTCCACTGCTGCTGTTATAATTTCGACGATTTGTTCTTCGTTTAAAAAATGAACTTCGTGTTTTGTTGGATGTACATTAACATCGACGTTTTTCGGATCTAATTTTAGGCTCAAATAGATAAATGGATGCATGTTTTTTGGTAGGTAATTTGTGTAAACTTGATCGATTGATTTTTTCAGACCTACAATTATTTTTTAATTTAAAATATTCCAATTTTGAAAAGTTGGCACCATCACGTGCTCCACAGTTTTCTTCATGTAATTGACCATTAAGCAGTTTTACAGTAATTGTTTATCATGTCAAAAGTTAAAGTGCGCTTTTATGGTTACAGAATTTTTGACCTATTTTTAGGATATTATTACAGATATTTCCTTTATTTTCAATCAAAATGAAAAACTGTAAGCACCATCACGTGCTCTACAGTTTTCTTCATATAATTCACCATAAGCAGCTTAACAGTAATTGTTTATCATGCCAAAAATTAAAGTGCGCTTTTATGGTTAAAGTATTTTTGACCGATTTTTAGGAAATTATTACAGATATTTCCTTTATTTAAATCAAAATGAAAAACTGTAGACACCATCACGTTCTCCACAGTTTTCTTCATATAATTCACCATAAGCAGTTTTACAGTAATTGTAGGTATATCATGCCTAAAATTAAAATGCGCTTTTATGGTTACAGCATTTTTGACCTATTTTTAGGATATTATTACAGATATTTCCTTTATTTTCAATCAACATAAAAAACTGTAAACACCACCACGTTCTCCACAGTTTTCCTCATATAATTCACCATAAGCAGTTTTACAGTAATTGTTTATCATGCTAAAAATTAAAGTGCGCTTTAATGGTTACAGTTTTATTGAACAATTTTTAGCAAATTATTACTGATATTCCCTTTATTTTTAATCAAAGTGATAAACTGTTGGCACCATCACGTGCTCCACAGTTTTCTTCATGTAATTGACCATTAAGCAGTTTTACAGTAATTGTTTATCATGTCAAAAATTAGAGNTTTATTGAACAATTTTTAGCAAATTATTACTGATATTCCCTTTATTTTTAATCAAAGTGATAAACTGTTGGCACCATCACGTGCTCCACAGTTTTCTTCATGTAATTGACCATTAAGCAGTTTTACAGTAATTGTTTATCATGTCAAAAATTAGAGTGCGTTTTTTTGGTTACAGTTTTATTGAACGATTTTTTGCAAATTATTACTGATATTTCCTTTATTTTCAATCAAAAAGAAAAACTGCAAGCACCATCACGTTCTCCACAGTTTTCTTCATATAATTCACTATAAGCAGTTTTACAGTAATTGTTTATCATGCCAAAAATTAAAGTGCGCTTTAATGGTTACAGTTTTATTGAACAATTTTTAGCAAATTATTATTGATATTCCCTTTATTTTCAATCAAAGTGAGAAACTGTTGGCACCATCACGTGCTCCACAGTTTTCTTCATGTAATTGACCATTAAGCAGTTTTACAGTAATTGTTTATCATGTCAAAAATTAGAGTGCGTTTTTTTGGTTACAGTTTTATTGAACGATTTTTTGCAAATTATTACTGATATTTCCTTTATTTTCAATCAAAAAGAAAAACTGCAAGCACCATCACGTTCTCCACAGTTTTCTTCATATAATTCACTATAAGCAGTTTTACAGTAATTGTTTATCATGCCAAAAATTAAAGTGCGCTTTAATGGTTACAGTTTTATTGAACAATTTTTAGCAAATTATTATTGATATTCCCTTTATTTTCAATCAAAGTGAGAAACTGTTGGCACCATCACGTGCTCCACAGTTTTCTTCATGTAATTGACCATTAAGCAGTTTTACAGTAATTGTTTATCATGTCAAAAATTAGAGTGCGCTTTTTTGTTTACAGTATTTTTGACCGATTTTTAGGATATTATTACTGATATTTTCTTTATTTTAACTCAAAATGAAAAACTGCAGACATCATCACGTTCTCCACAGTTGTTTTCACATACTTCATCATAAGCAGTTTTACTGTAAGTGTTTATCATGTCAAAAATTAAGGTGCGCTTTTATGGTTACAGTTTTGTTGACCGATGTTTAGCAAATTATTACTGATATTTCCTTTATTTCTAGACAAAGTGAAAAACTGTTGGCACCTTTAGATTCTCCACAGTTTTCTTCATATTAATAAGTATAAATGGGCTCTAAAGTAATTGTTTATCATGTCAAAGATTAGAGTGCGCTTTTTTGGTTACAGTTTTATTGATGGATTTTTAGGATATGATTACTGATATTTCCTTTATTGTAAATCAAAATTAAAAACTTCACGTTTTCCACAGTTTTCTTCATTTAAATCATCATTAAGCAGTTTTACTGTAATTGTTTATCATGTCAAAAATTAGAGTGCGCTTTTTTAATACTGATCGGTTTTTCGCATATTACTGATATTTCCCTTATTTTAAATCCAAATGAATAACTGTTGGCACCATCAGATTCTCTATAATTTTCTTCATATAATTCACCATTAAGGGGTTTTAAGGTAGTTATTTATCTTGTCAAAAATGCGGTTGCGCTTGTTTGGTTGCAGTATTTGTAACCAATATTTGGCATATTGTTACTGATATTTCATTTATTTTAAATTAAAATGATAAATCGCTGGTGCCATTAGATTTTCCACTATTTTCTTCATATATTTCGCAATCAATAGGGTTTAAAATAATTGTTTATCATGTCAAAAATTAAAGTGCGCTTTTTTGTTTCCACAATTATAATGAGTTTTTTGGAAATTTTTAGAAGAGAAATCCAGTGTGTATTTTTACCAAAAATTTATTAGGTTTATAAATAAATAACAAATGAAGTATTATTACATTATAATGTTGTACAAAAATAATTGTAATTGGAAGAATTTAAATGGAAAAATTTCGTTGACCGTTTTTAAGAAGAAAACATTTTAATTGAGAAATTATAAATACAAAAGGTAACACAATGGTTTTCATAAGAAAAATGTACAAAAATAGATATCAATTAACAATTACATGGGAAGGAAAAATTATTTTTAACATCTTTCGAACACTTTGTACAAATTCGGTAGATTGGCAAGTTCAACAATAGCCGCATTATTAATAAATGATTTCGGTGGTAGAAAAAAGTCTTTAATGGCAGGATAAAAAACATGTTCCACAAGCCACTTCCAGTTGTGCTTTTCATCCGAATCATTTTCTTCTATAAACGAATAATATTTTGCAGTTTCCCTGGCAAACGTTTCAAAGCACTCCAACTCCGATTCCCAGTTGACTTCCGTCGCAAGTCTTAACAAATACATGGGCAAACCTGTCATTTCCGGTACGTGTTTGTCTATAAAATTCCAATGGAAAAATCAATTAATTATACGAGTAATTCTCTGGTTCAATTAGTTTTAAATAAGAAACTACTAAAGTAAAGTGTCTGCAAAGTAGAAAAATAATCATGTACATACCTAGCAAAAGTGGTAAAGTCTTCAGGTCTCCATTTTCGTCGATTTCTAGAGTGAAATATTCTTTTAGCATTTCACCCTTCTCTGTCAAAATTTCTGTTACTTTTTCGGCCAATTCATTCTTGTCGCCGTCTTCGGGAGTCCACCCTGTTTCTGGTAATTTGAGAGCCTCCAAGGCTAGTTTTTTTACAGACAGCGGATCGCTAAATGATATGATACCGAAATTTTGAAAATTATACATGACAAACTGATAAAACAGTTCCTCCATTATTTGTTGTGTGTTGCACATGTAAAGCTTTGTGCCGTGCTGAATGAGGGCCTGCGAAGGGTCTATACAACCCACGAAAACATGCTGGTTGAATAATTCACGCATTGCAGGGTGGCAATTGCCTTCAATCTTTTTTCGAAGTTCTAGCACGCTTGTTAATTCACATTCAACCCTGAAAAGAATTAAAGATTTTTATTTGTTTAAGAATTTAATACAAATAATGAAACATTTGAAATTAAGTGCTTAAGTATGTATTTTAAGAAGAAAAGACCTACGTGGTCACTTCCAATTCCTTGGTACGACTTAGAACAACACCCCCAACTGGATTGAATCCAACATCTGTTTTCATTTTCTTCTTTGGACTTGGACTATGTTCGATCGTTTTGTTCAACAGTTTTGATTCAAACTTTTCGTTGTCGATTAAAAATTGTTTATTTCTTTCTTCGAACAACTTGTCTTCAGGATTAGTTACTACTTTGTTATCGACGTTATCATCGTCATTACGATCAGTTATTTGCATCGTTTCCATTTTTTTTGTGGTTGCCCCAAAAAATTTTTCAAGTTTTTGATTGGACGAGTCAGTTCTTACAAGTTCCTTGGGGTAAACCTTTTCCGATTTTTCTTTTGGCGAACTTTGAATAGTATTGGATGTTACAATAGGTAATTTTGCCTTAAAATTGCTTTCGGATTAAAAAAAGAACTCTAGAAAATATATTTTCTTTTTTTTGATACCTGTGTAAAGTATACTCGGGAATTGTTACAGCCCAATAATTTCTTTTCCACTGCTGCTGTTATAATTTCGACGATTTGTTCTTCGTTTAAAAAATGAACTTCGTGTTTTGTTGGATGTACATTAACATCGACGTTTTTCGGATCTAATTTTAGGCTCAAATAGATAAATGGATGCATGTTTTTTGGTAGGTAATTTGTGTAAACTTGATCGATTGATTTTTTCAGACCTACAATTATTTTTTAATTTAAAATATTCCAATTTTGAAAAGTTCAAGAATATATATTTACTTTGACATTCCACCAATCGGTGATTTATAAACAGTAAAAAATTCATTCGTTTTGTAGAATAATTTACGTTGGTCATTTGGCCATTTGCTTTGAATTTATATTTGTCATCTTCCAACGAAAATTCAGTCAGTTCTCTTTAAATAAGAAAGAACATAGTTACAAATATTTAAAACACAAAATTAATTATACATTCACAACCAGAAAGGGCTCTCTTCAGATAGGTATGCGATATTTTTTTAAGAAAAAAATATATAAACCTTGCAATACTGTTCCCATAAATAGTTCTTATATTATCAGTCTGATTTGAACCAACTGGTGTCCTTATGTCGTTGTTCTCTCCAAATTTTTTGAGACTAAAACCTGTAGATAGATAATAATTTCATTAAAAAGAAATCCCTTTTTTAAATAAAGTGATGCTAACCAACAGAGGCATTGTGAATAGCATATTTCCCTACAACATCAGCAATTTTCTGGTATTCTTCTGACGCACTTTTTAAAGCTCTTTTTCTAACATTCATGTTGTAAAATAAGTCTTCTACTATTATTTGAGTGCCCTGGTTCCCAGCTATTAGTTTGGGGGGTCCATTTAATTTACCATCAATAAATTGGGCTCTAAAGTTGTCTCAGATCAGTAAATAAATATCACAAGTCAAGTAATGTTATATGCATTACTAATTGCTAATTTAAAATGAATTCGTTTTAAATTAATAAAAAAAAAACAGATTTGTGCATAATTTTTAAATTTGTGCCAAAATTAAAATTATTATGTGACAAATTTCGAATAACTTTGCTAATGAACATACAATCTTTTCATGTATAATTTATGGAAATTTACCATTTATTTTTACAAGTTTATCCCTACAAAGATAACGTTTATATAACAGTCTGATAAGCTATCTTTATAATCGTTATATATGTTGTATGAATATCAGAGCTGTGCAAAACGTGATATGTTTGTGTGTTAAACACAAGGAAATGATACCTCATTTGCTAAAATGAGCGATGAGTGAGTATTTATTTACTTATTCTTTAACTGCAGTTTAGAATAATAAATATGAGAACAAAAGGGCATTTTTGGACTTTTTAGAAAATTACCTGTAAGCACATTTTTCTGAGGCGGTTTTAGACTGAATTGTAAGATGTGCTACATGACTTATGCTTGCCAAAGCTTCACCTCTAAAGCCATAAGTAGAGATAGAACTCAAATCTTCAAATTTCTGCAGTTTTGAAGTTGTAAATCGTTCGCATACAATACTAAAGTCATCTTTCCTTATTCCCACACCGTTATCTTGTATCTAAACAAAAATTTGTTTTTTTCATCACTAATTAGAGAGTTGAAATAGGGAGTAATATATGGGTTTATTACTTGGATATATTTGAGGCCCCCATTTTTTACTGTGATTTGAATGTTTGTTGATTTAGCATCTAAACTGAAAAGAATGCAAATTGAGAGCAGAAATTAGAAATCTAATCAAAATACCTGTTTTCTATCAATTCTTTAAGAGCATTAGCAGGTCGTTGTATTACTTCACCTGCAGCAATTCTGTTTATTACCGTTTCCTCAAGCTTTTTGATTATGGGTGCTTCAGACATACTGTAGTGCTTTCTAGAGAACCTTAAAATGTACAAATTAATGAGAATTAAACCTATTATTGTTAATTAAATGAATATTTTGACTTGTTAATTCTATCTGACTCAATCATAACCTTAAAATTTGACAACTATGGCTTCGTAGTTCCAATAGCTAACGCAGTGTTCATTAGAACTACAGCCAGTGGTGATAGCTTTGAACTAAATAATTTTGATGTTTGTGGCATTTCAAGATGGCCGAAAGTGTTGCATATTGAAATTTGTTAATGTTTTCTAATAAGTGCCAAAATGTACTTAAATCGTTGATTAATACCATAGTGGCTGATGTTTTGTTAATATTTTTATTTTATTAAACCTGCATTCGATAAAGAAATAATGCAAATATTGCCTTAAGTTATGTTTAATGTTGTTCTAAAATTAAGTGCCTAATAAAGTGCCTCACAAAATGTTTAGGTTTTTAAGTGGTCGTAAGGGTAGAACGACTACTAGAAGTGTAGGTGATGCCAAATCATCAAAGGGTTACAATAAGAATTTAATTCAGTGTAAAGTAATTCTTTTAGATGGGACAGATCTTTCTGTAGAGTTGTCTGTAAGTAACATCTCCGATTTTTCCTTAATAAACCCTCTGTAACGTTTAAACGATTAACGTTTTGTTAATTTTGTGTTTAACATATGTGTGTAGACGTTTATAATTGATTTTTATTAATTAAATTACAAAATTTCTTTCTGTGTCATTGGAGGTTTTTGTGAAAGTATCACAGAACATATTGTGTTGTTATTGTGCCTTCTCACGTTTTACAAACACTTTTTCTTGCTGATCATGGTCTCAATTATATAATATTGGTTTATTTATGTAACATTACATTTACAACAGGTGGTTTGTTTTAGAAAAAGGCTGAAGCAAGAGACTTATACGAGCAGGTGTTCTATTCACTAGATTTAATAGAGAAAGACTACTTTGGACTCCAGTTTACTGATGTTAATCATGTTAAGCATTGGCTGGACCCAACAAAACCAATTAAAAAGCAAATTAAGAGTAAGTTTACAAATAATAATTTTATTTCAACTCTGACTCATGTTTTTTATTTCATTCACAAACAAGTATTAAATTACAGCACCAAGAGAGTATTTCATACATATTTGTTACTGCTTTTTTATCAGTATTACGTTCTTTCAGTCATTATTTTTTTATTGCCTGATAGCATTTTATTTTATTATTGTTTATATTGTTCTAGTTGGACCTCCCTACACTTTGAGATTGAAAGTTAAATTTTATTCGTCTGAGCCAAACAATCTAAGGGAGGAATTGACACGATATCAGTTCTTTTTGCAATTAAAACAGGACATACTTGAAGGGAGATTGGACTGTGCTCACCAGATTGCAGTGGAGTTGGCCGCTCTTTCTTTACAGTGTAATTAATCACGTTTGTAACTTTATGAAAATTGTTATTTATTATCTTTTAATTTCTGTAGCTGAACTAGGGGACTATGATGAGACTCAACACACTGCAGCTACCGTCTCGGAGTTCAGATTTGTTCCCAACCAAACTGAAGAGATGGAGATTGAAATATTAGAAGAATTTAAGAAATGTCGTGGTTTAACACCTGCACAGGCTGAACTTAGTTACCTGAATAAAGTTAAATGGCTGGAAATGTATGGGGTGGACATGCACACAGTGCTGGTAAGAATATATCATCCTCCTTAGGGTCGCATATCAAAAAATACATGAAAATTGCTAATATTTGTCCATACTACCCATTACAAACAGATAGTGTGGTAGATTAATTAAATTATACGTTTGTAAGGTACTCAACTTTTGGCCAGTTAATTTTTTTATTTAATTCTTTTAGTTTTTTATTTCGGCTTTTTAATTCTTTCATTTTGATGTTTAAAAGTTTGTTTTGTTTTACGATTAGGGAAAGGATGGTATGGAGTACCATTTAGGCTTGACACCCACTGGCATTTTGGTGTTTGAGGGAAACCAAAAGATCGGATTATTTTTCTGGCCTAAAATTGGCAAATTGAACTTCAAGAAGAAAAAACTGACGCTTGTAGTTGTAGAAGACGACGATCAAGGACGAGAGCAAGAGCACACCTTCGTATTTAGGTGACGTTTTTGTTTTTATTTTCCTTTCTAGTTTTATTTAATAATTTCATTTTTGTCCCCAGATTACACAATGAAAAGGCCTGCAAACACCTGTGGAAATGTGCAGTGGAGCATCATGGATTCTTCAGGTTGAAGGCGCCCCCCAGACCCAACTCTGCCAAGCAAAACTTCTTCCGAATGGGTTCCAGGTTCCGATATTCCGGTAGGACTGAGTACCAGAGCACTTACCAGGCCAGAGCAAGGAGAACTGTCCAATTGGAGAGAAGACCGAGTCAAAGGTAACTGGAATAAAATGTTTTATCACTTTAAAAAATTTCTTTTTGACTGTTTTCAGATATGGGCGTCGTCAGAGCCACGTTTTACGCGAAAGACAGCAAAAGGAGCAGATAGAGGCTCAAAAGGCAGTAGAATGTGCTGATATAGTTTCAAATAAGGGCCCGGAAAGCCTCCAGCCTTGTTCCAGCAGGGCCTCTAGTAGATCTAACGCTACCAACACCACAGATAACGAATCCGGATGCTGTGGAATTACTGACGATGTTACAAAACCAGGTACTTTAATTTTGTAACAGAAGTTTTGTAAGTCATTAATTGACCTTTTGATTTCATTAGTTTCCGAATCGTTAGGTTTATTGAGCCAGAACAGTTTTGGAAAGGGTTCTATAGGGCATAGTTCGTTTGGTAAGGCGTCAGTGGGACAGAATTCCTTTGGAAAGGCCTCAATTGGTTGTAGTTCCTCTTACAGGTAAAATATCGCGTTGAAATCAATAATTATAATTTTTATTTTTATTTTATCTTGTTATAGTCCTGCTTTGTCGATTTCTTCTTCAAAAAATGGGACTCTGAAGAGGAGCCAACAGGCATCGTCTCCAACGAGTTTCAAAGAGTTGTCGGTGAGTCCTACCCCATCATCGACAGCCGACAGTCAGCTCGACATGCTGCTCAAGAGTCTCGCAAAAGAGACTTTGAATGGTGTGCACAGGGATGAAAAAAGAAACGAAGTCTCGACTTTTGTCGATAAATCTGATGGTACGTTTTATAACTTGCAGAATAGTATTTTTTTATGAGACCTATTTTTTTTTTTCATTTTACAGATCTCGATGGGGAAGTCTTGATGAAATCATTATCAGCAGAAATACCTAATAATATTACCAAGTTTCTCAATACTTCGGTCAAACCTATTCCTCTAAATCAACTCAAGTGTAACATATTGAAAGGTAATAATTACTGGCAAAAAAAATATATCTGACTCAATCATAACCTTAAAATTTGACAACTATGGCTTCGTAGTTCCAATAGCTAACGCAGTGTTCATTAGAACTACAGCCAGTGGTGATAGCTTTGAACTAAATAATTTTGATGTTTGTGGCATTTCAAGATGGCCGAAAGTGTTGCATATTGAAATTTGTTAATGTTTTCTAATAAGTGCCAAAATGTACTTAAATCGTTGATTAATACCATAGTGGCTGATGTTTTGTTAATATTTTTATTTTATTAAACCTGCANTTTTCTCTAAGTAAATTTTACTTAATATTTCTTTAGTTTGATTGTTAAACAAGCCTTTTGTTTTAATTATTAGCTGATTCTTTTGTTTCAGTTATAAGCAATTGTTTGTTCTACTTTTAAGCAGTTTCTTTTGTTTTAATTATTGCAAGTCCTAAAAGTTTATTGTTTTAGCTAAAGTGGAAGAAGAATTAAATAATGGAGCTCCTTCTATGCTATCAACGAAGATGACAAATCAGATGTTTGTGGCTGCTGCCAAAGACGATGAGACCAGTTTGAACTCATTAAATGCTGCGACCTTTGTAGCTGTGGTAAGTTAACAAATCATTTTTTTGTTCTTTTTTTCGTTTTTTAACGTAACAAAAATTTCATGCACATGTGTTGCACCTTATGAATTCATTCATTGTAAATAAATTATGATCATTAGTTTAATAATTATCATAGTTTTGTGCAGACAAATATTTACTTGTTATTATGGGCTTGAAATTTTGGTGCTTATAATATTTTTTGGACCAAATGTAATTAAAAATAATTCACAAATTTCATTTAAAGGCTCATTGTATCTGTTTTTATTTTGTGAAGATTTCATGTATTTTTACCGGCTTGTGTTGTGCTGCTAGCTTCTAATGTAGTTTGTTCTTTTTTTTCCCTGAACCTTCATATTTATCCCCTTTTGTGAAAATGGCGTTTTTGTACATTACCTTTAATTGTTTTTTGTTAGGGTGGTGACAAGTTAACGTTGTCAGTAGCGGGTCCTCCTAGCACCACCGCCTCCCTAATACCCAGCCCCACAAAGTCTGAAAAAACTGAGAATGTCAAACGCAGTACGACCCCCGTAACCGTAACATTTTTCGGCCATTCCGAAAAAGGAAAACTTGAAAAGAAAACCCTTCAAAGTCCTGAAAATCGCAACAAAAAGTCACTCACTCTTTTTAATTCATCTGAAATATTGACTCCCATGAAAATTTTGAACTCTCCGACCGACAAGAAGACAGTAAAGAGTCCGAAAAGTCCGAGGGGGGTGTTTTTCTCGAATGGGGGAGCTGGAGTTAATAATAATTCTAATCCGTTTGTGAATTTTTCTACTGAGGTGGACAAAAACGCCGTTTCGTTCCCGTTAAATTCCTCGAGCAATAATCCCTTTTTGCCCTGTAACAACCCTTTTAGAGAGACTGACGAGGTCGACGAGGGTGCTAAAAATAGCGACGTCAGCGAAGGGGGCGACTCATTAGCAGCCAACAGCGAGGTAAGTCTTTATCATTCGCTTTGTGTATTAGTTTTAGTGCTTCTTTTGGTCACAGCCATCATTTTATCGCAGGGTTACGTTTTTGATTCAATTTTTTTAAAAAAAATTCGTGAATTTTTTATTAAAGCGTGTTGAAACATTCGCAGGATAACGAATCTCAAAATTCACCCACCACGACCTCCGTGACACCCTCATTGAGTAAATTGTCGCCTTGGTTAGTATCGTCTGAGGTGATACAATCCCCAGTGGCGAAGGTGAACACCACTGAAACGGCTATTATCAGAAAATCAGTAATTACAACTCAACTTTAAGTTGTACTTTTGTTTTCCTTTTTAACAACGAAAACTTTTTAAAATATTCATTGTGAACTTGTGGCAAGTGTCTTTTATCGAAAAATAGGGAGCAAATCGTTTGTTTATGTATTATTTAATAATTTCAAAGAGAAATAGCTAAAAGTGTAACTTTAATTCATGTTTTTCTTTTTATCTACTTAATTGCAGTATTATTTTCAAAATTATTAAGTTTTATTTCGTATAAAATACAAAATTGTAGTAAACATTTATTGAAATCAATAAGAAAAAGGTTTGTAGATGTTATTGGCTGTGAATTAATGAAATTGTAACGTCAAAAGGTATTAAAAACTAATTAAAATTATAGGCTCAAGTAAGTTCCACAATCTTGAATTTTAATATTATTCTAGTTGATTCTGAAGCCTCTAAATTTGATTTTAACTTATTTTTTTTGTAATGTAACTTACAGCAAACTTTTATTAAACAATTAGTTAATCTGTTTTCATTAAACAATATAATTAGGGACCAATAAATATGAAAAAAGCTGACTTAGAGGTATAAGTGTAATAAAAGTAGCATTTTATATCGCGATTAATGATTTATAAATTGTTTTTTGTAATTTATTTTTGAATAAGTATTTCTTATACTTTGTAAATAATTAAGTGCCATTTTAATCGAAAAATGGGGATGTATCATAGTTTATAAGAGAAATGAGGATTTTATTAAAATGCTTTTACTATTTAACTGTTCCTGCGACAGTTAATTACTTAAGGACCAAGGTAAATGTAATTTCTTCCGTCCTTTATAAGTAATATTGTTGTAACAATTTTATTTTGCTAATAAAGAGCTATATGATGTTAGATTTTCGTTTGAAAGTAAACGTACATTCAGTATATTAACTATAAAATTGAAACAGTTGAAATAAATAAAACAAAACATCACTCATAAGAAAAATTTAATGATTTTAAAAATACTGTTGCTACAATTCAAACAGAAAATGTAGAACTTATCTTAATACATATGGGTAACAACATACAAATCTTCATCGAATTGATAGAACTTAACTACAAGGAAGATATTAGGTAAGTTAATGGTACTAATTACAGTAAGACAATTTCTAGTAATAAAAGGGCTATGAAGTTACAAATAAACCAATTAATAGCCAAGGTAGGTACACCAGAGTTCGTACATTAATCTACTTCTTCCTTAACAAATACTATGATAATAGGGGTGAAATAGGCACTAATTATGAAAATATATGCACTGTAAATAACTATAACTGTATAATTAAGGATACATTCACTAAAATTTAAGAAAATAAACACAAATTAACCTTAACTGCGATGTAAAAATACTAACACTTTTTACCATTTAAGTACTTTGGGGCACTCATATTAATGAACTAACGATTAACTACGTACCCACAGACTTATTTCCGCACAACTCATAATATTTTACCTTTAAATTTAAAAGAAAACGTAATTTGTTTATTTACATTTATTTATCTTAAACTGTCATATAGTAGTTCAAATGCAACACCTTAGTAGTTCCAAAGTAGCGACAAACCGGCCTCCGAGCATAAGGATCAAACAGCCAAATTTTTAAGACCTCCTGTCACTTATGCTCTCCTAATACAAAAATCCGAAAATTTTTAGTTTGCGCAAAATTTTCAATGTATGTCCGGCGCCTCCACCAATTTTTGTTTTTAACAATAAAATTTTGGTGGAGGCGCCGGACATATTTTAATTTTTCGAAATAAAGAACTGATTGTTCATTTTGGTGGAGGCGCCGGACATGTTTAAATTTTTCGAAATAAGTACCAATTAATCATTTTGGTGGAGGCGCCGGGCATATTATAATTTTTGAAAGTATAAGATTGAAAACTGATGATTTTTTTATATTATTTGTGGGATGATTAATAAATTTTGGTGGACACGTTTTAATTTTCGAAGTAAAAAATTATAAATATTCAAAGTTTGTGATAAGAAATAAGTATTTTTCTTACAATTACTTGTTGTTACTTAGTTTGACAATTGGTTTCGTACACAATGTTACAAATTCCCTTTAACTCTCAATAAAACAAGAAATTAACGTAGTGTTATTTCTTTATTTATTAATTAATTTGTTATTTATGAGTATAATGGACATACAACGTATAATATATATATAATACAGAACATTTGAAAAGATATGTTTTGTGTCTTTGCTATTTTTATACAGATTTTATTAACAGTTGATATTACATTTAAATATTTACAATAAATTTGTAAAACAAGACACTGGCACACAACATTATTTGTTTAAAATTACGTATATTTAAATATTAAACGAAATGTACAGAACAGATGACAAGTTTTAATTTACAATTGATTTAATGAACTAATTAATAATGATACTGACTGTTTTATGATTTGCACTTGAAGACCTTAGCAATTCTCCAGTTTATTTTTTATGTTTTTTAAACAGAATTATAAATAATTTACTCCGTTCAGGACCTTTTCCTGTTACAAAATCTAAATAAATCAATTAATTAGATCTCAAGTTTTACATTTTAATAGTTTATTCTTAGAAATATCATAGCTAATTGTTTCATTTTAATTAATTTATGTGCAACCAGGTTTTAAGTATTAAAATTGACTTCGTTTACATCCTTCACTTCACTAATTCATCCCTAATTCTACCTAATTACATATTTAATACTGCCACAGACTTTTAAGTGATTGTTTAAATATTTAAAAATGATTTAATTGGTAATTCTGTTGTATATCTTAAAGTATAATTGTATTAAATTAAAATATTAGTTAAGACAGTACGTGAATACGTATTTTCCTTATCATTAAATAAATTTTCTATGTCCTAATGGCTTTGGCAGTGATTGATTCTCTTGATCGGTAAATATTAACGAAAATAACTAAACAAACATACAGTTAACAAAAAAATCATATTTTTTTTAAGTAGACATCAGAAACGTACAATTACTGTACCTATACACGCACATATTTCAATAAAGAAAAATATTAATCTCTGATTATTTATATATCATGCATATTCGAAGAACGCGTTATTAGAATCACATTAAAATTTCGAGAAGAAAGTCAAATTTCTAGCACCGAATCTTCTGCCATCAGATGACAATTATAGTCCTTTAAAACTTCTTGAATTTTAGTCTCACCTATAACCTGTTGACATTCTTCGTCTTCCTCATGCTTTCCAGTCGAATTTCGAGCCAACCAAACAAAACGACTGCGACCACCAACACCACCGCCGAAATGTAGAGCTTGACCCAGTTGCAGAGCAGGTCGTGAGCGCCGAAAGCCACCCCAAAGCCAACAAACTTAAAGAAGATGGCATTCGCGAAAGGGGCTTCCCAATTGTCAGAATAGAGGCCAGTCAGAAGAGCTAGAAATGAAATGTTAAATTAATATAAACAGTTAAGTCCGCAGAATTGTTTGTTCTTCAGTTAATGATGGTAATAAAATAAATTATCAAGCAATATTTCTTTTATTTTATATCAAAAGGAAAAACTGATGGTACCATAAGATTCTACACATTTTTCTTCATATGTTCAACTATGAATATGTTTTAAAATAATTGTTTAATAGACCAAAAATTAAGGTGCACTTTTCCGTTTTTTACTATTTTTATAAGGTTTTTGCATATTATCGCTGATATTTTCTTTATTTTAAATTGAATGTGAAATCTGATGGTACCACAAGATTCTACACATTTTTCTTCATATGTTCAACTATGAATACTAATTATGAAAATATATGCACTGTAAATAACTNCCAAAAATTAAAGTGCGCTTTTCCGTTTTTCAATATTTTTATAAGGTTTTTGCATATTATCGCTGATATTTTCTTTATTTTAAATTGAATGTGAAATCTGATGGTACCACAAGATTCTACACATTTTTCTTCATATGTTTCACTTTGAATATTTTTCAAAATAATTGATTAACAGGCCAGAAATTAAGGTGCGCTTTTCCGTTTTTTAATATTTTTATAAGTTTTCTGCATATTATGGCTGATATTTTCCTTATTTTAAATTGAACGCAAAATCTGATGGTACCACAAGATTCTACACATTTTTCTTCATATGCTCAACTATGAATATGTTTTAAAATAATTGATTAACAGGCCAAAAATTAAAGTGCGCTTTTCCGTTTTTCAATATTTTTATAAGGTTTTTGCATATTATCGCTGATATGTTCCTTATTTTAAATTGAATGTGGAATCTGATGGTACCACATGATTCTACACATTTTTCTTCATATGTTTCACTATGAATATGTTTCAAAATAACTGTTTTACATGCCAAAAATTAAGGTGCGCTTTTCTGATGTTAGTATTTTTACAAGGTTTTTGCATATTATCGCTGATATTTTAAATCAAACAGTAAATACTTATTATACCAATGGCACCAATGAAAGAAAAATAATCCTTTGTTAGTATTCAAAATCTTTTTATATACACATACTGAAATTAAGCATCTCCCAAATGGCATTACAAACACCCCATGCTGCTGATATGACATAGAACAAGGCTGGATCGTCACTCATTGGCTTCCACAACATTAATACCATAAGTAAACAGGCGTGAAATAAAAATCCAACAGCTGAAAAAAAAAACACAGGAAAAGAAATTAATAATGGACCGAGAAACAAAAGATTTAGTCCTTATTAAAACATATCTAGAAACCAATTTATTTTTACTTACCTACAACGTAATATCGACTTATTGTCCTTAACAACATGCTAAGGGTGCAAGCGGCAATGGATTGAAGAAGACCCATGCTGAGGAAAATTACATTCACCCTTTGGATTCCTATCGTACACACAACATAGGACTGAAAGAAAAAAATAAATAGAAGATAATAAGGCCTGCAACTATCAAAATAATGATTTGTTTTTTTCAAAAGAACTATCTGCTTTTTTAATCACAATTATATTATTTGTTAAATATTAATGTGAAATTAACTGAAGTATTAAATTAATTTTACGTTAACGATTAAATTCGAAAAAGGTTGTTAAAGGTGTATGTTTGGAGCACGGCGTTGTACGGGTGCGAAACATGGACAGTGGGAGCGGCGGAAAAGAAAAGGTTAGAAGCGTTCGAAATGTGGTGTTATAGGCGGATGATGAGGATATCGTGGGTAGAAAAGGTTAGAAATGAAAAGGTATTAGAAAGAATAGGAGAACAGAGGACTCTGTGGAAGTCAATAAAAAATAGGCGAGATAGGTTGGTAGGACACCTTCTTAGGCATGAAGGTCTAGTCAGAGACATATTAGAGACAGAAACAGGAGTTAGGAGGGGTAGAGGTAGACCTAGATTAGATTACTCTTCGCAAATAGTTAAAGATGTGGGTTGTTCTAGTTTTAGGGAAATGCGAAGTTTAGCTCAGGATAGGAAAGAGTGGAGGTACGTGTCCAACCAGTCTTAGGATTGATGACCTTATGATGATGATGATGAACGATTAACTAATTTATTTATATTTTGTTACAAATTAAATTGAAAATAATATTTCCAACGTGGCTGGGAACATCAACTTACCTTACTAAATTCTGAGTACATAACACTTTGTTCCAGGCCGATGAAAAACGCAAGAGGTGCCGCAAGTTGCAATTTCGTATCCTTAAAGGTGTCACCAACAGTTTGCAACACGGACAGCAGCTCCAAATGCTCTAAGGGATCCTGGCAGATGTAGGTCCTAATCTTATCAATTCCTACTGCAGTTAATAGCACAGCTAGAGCCGATAGTGCACTAAAGACACACGTAAGAGCCAAGACAGTGCTCCGGGGCACCATAGGGAATTGTCCTGGGCCCGTACTATTTCCGGTAATTTCGAAACTGTTGCTAGAGGGACACGCTGATACCCCGCAAATCCTTTCTCCAATCTCGTCCACTTCAAATATACTATTATAAATATCTTCAGTCGATATATAATCCTGTTGTGTATCCGGATCAAAATTAGGCCCAAAAGACGTGCAGTTTATCGTTAGATTCTTTAGTATTTCCAAAGTGCTTTTGCACAGCGAACAGTAGCATTCAGAGCAATGTCCAATGTCCGATGTGCTGTTACACTGGTGGCAAGAAAAAGTGTCCAAATAACTGCTGCAATTCGTGGAGACGTTCGCCGAAAGATTTGTTGATAAAACTGACGAATCTTTCGAAGCGAAAATTATAAAAGCTGCGGCAACCAACGATCCCAATATTAGGCCGAAATCTTGAGCCGCCCTGAACACCCTGGCCATCCTTCTGATAACCATAACTTTCTTCGACGACTTGGACTCCACTTCCTCTTCAGAAAGCGTGTAGCTTATTTTGGTCGACAGTGTTAGCAGAAAGGAAATGTGACATAACTGGAGAGGACCTTGAAATAAAACTGAAATTATTCGAGTACAGTAACATTACAGTCAGGTGACTCTTACCGAGAACAATTCCCAAAAGGACGTAGGCAGGTACCATGGCGTACATTACAGGAAAAATATGGACGGTAAAGAACAGGCAAAAGGTGGAATACGCTACCAGAAACACCACCTTCGTGCCCACGAAATGGATTAGTACGGGCGCTATTAGGACAGTTAGGGCGCTTATAAGAAACATTACCATCAACAAAATGGGTCCTACATTTACGGAGTTACTTGGCTGACCATCGATCGATATCGTCCATAGTGAAATACTACCCTGTAACACCAAGAAGGGCAGGAAGGTCACCGTCGCTAGAATATGAAGCAGACATAAGACAGTTATGTTCCTGGTGAGGGTCCTCCTGCTGTACAAGGGGTTGCATCGATTGTGAGCGTTTCGTACAACCCCAATTAAGCGTCTAACCGAATTTGCGCCAATGGAACTGTTCAAGGAATCTCTTCGTTTTATGCTAGTACTAAAATTCCTTATCGATCGATTTGATATGGGCGAATAGGCAGCCATGTGCTAAAAATTGAACCAAAACGGATGATGTCTTACCGAAAACTTTTAAAATAAAAAATAGTTCTCACTTCTGCTGTAGAATCATCATAAAAATGCCTCGTTTCGTGTCCATTACTTCTAATCCGAGGAAGTCTATCTTGCGTTGAGTTTCTGTGATGACCACTCTTAGTTCTAAGGTCATCGTGAAAAAACGTGGAATGTCCAGGCCCGTACAAGTGGCAGTATTCGATGGGCAGTCCGGTCCTGAAGCAATGGGCAGATCTGCTACTGGTCTTGCCCAGTTCGTTCAAATTAGGCAAACTTCCCATTTTTATTTAATAAATTTTGATGATCTTTCTTAAGGCGTGTACATGACAGTATTGGGTTTTTGTTGAGGATCGAATACGTTCCCATTACCTAGGAGAAAAATTGTTCGTTTCACAGACCAACAAGTAGATGTGGATAATAAAGGATAAATAAAGTAAATGTTTAAAGCGATGGTTATTCAAATTGGACACGCGCGCCTTAATAACGTAAAATGGCTTTTGCGAATAACCAGTTAAGCTAATGAATCAATTCTATTCATATCAATGTGTGGAAATGAAGCATGGAGATAAATTATGATTGATTATTTCATTCAAAACTTTAAGCGTTTGTTACTAATAATACGTTTGGTGCATTTTACAACCCTTTAACGTTGACTATGGGGCATCTTATGCAAAAATAGTATCGGACTTTTAGACTTTTGGGTTTTCTTATCTTATATGAATTACTTACATACACATATACATCTATATAAGGTACAGTATACGTTGTATACGACTGGCAATGTTATAATCGAGGTAGCCTAGGCGTTCATGCTCTAATAGTTTTCATTTTTACTCGATTCTAGTACGAGATTGACCTCAGCTTGCAACTTTTCCTAAAGGAACATTTGAAAATCTGCTAGCAGTTCCAGAGCGTATCCCGAACAACCGAACAAGCAAAACTCAATCCTTAATAATTACAAATTCTGGACTTTCGAAATCAATAATTATTTGAAAATGAGTTCAGATTTTTAAAGACGAAAGATTGAAATAATAATTGAAGTAGTTAGGTGGGATTATACAGTAGAAAAAAATATTTGCGTTATGTTTGCGGTGACTAACCATTGAAATTTGCTGTAGTGCATTTATGATTTTTATGTGGCGAACCTTGCAAACCTTTGTCCTTGTCCAAACGTTAGACAGACAACTTGCAAAATAATTTCATACATTTGCGTATGTACAAGGCAACTTAGAGAGACTGTGGTTAAATGTAGTGTGCAATGCGGACACTTGCGCTACAGTTAGTAAGATCAAGTTAAGCTAATTTGTCTTTAATTGACGACAGCTAAGACAGCTGCAACCTTTGATTAGAATAAAAGCAAAAATACAAACACCCACGTCATATATTTATATCTAAATTACGTACGCAATCACATGTTGTTGTGGGTTAGTACTCTAAGGAATTTATCTTTCTTTTTAATTAAGAAAAACTCTTGAAATACGTATTTGCATTTAAAACAAAATATCTGGTTCTATTTTGCCAATTCTGCTTTCTATATTGCTGTTGATTGTTCCTGTGTTGGGAGCAAATATTTTGATGGATTAAGAAAAAGGAAAACCCAAGCTGAAACCCGCCCCAGGATTTACCATTTCTAGATTGTTTAATTCATGTTATTTTTTCAATCTGATGAATGATCCAAGTTCAAGGCAAACAGCTACTGTCTTTACAGTTTGATCATTATACGTATATATAGTGAGAAGGTATTCAAGCGTAGGTAATTGTTACTATTTTGTTTGAAACAATTGCATAAATGTAATTGACGTTCGAGCAGATGCTAAACAATCTTCTAGCAGATATTTTTTGTTCTAGTAATTATTTTATTATGAATACAATGGAATGCTTCAAAATGATGTGTTCCATAATCGCCCCAACCCGTGCCGTTTAAGGTCCTTGAAAGGGTTGCCATCCCCAATAGAAAGACGACCTTATATCTATAAATTTATAATCGAAAAAAAATATCACATTTAAAGTCAATATTGATCTGTTTCAATGAGTTTCAACAAGGAATGGCGTTTGAAGATTTTCAAGGTGTAAAGTAAAGTAAAGTGTGCCACCCTGTATATAATTTATATCGATGTTTTCATGGTTAAGTTTACCATATATCTGGGGGAATTTTCCGACTGTTTACGATTTACAAAGCGTAATCCTGGCTTTTCTTCGAACTTCCTTTGTTTACATCCTTAAAGGCAACGAAGCATAACCGGGATGTCAACGGGAGTGCGGTGTTTTTTGTCATATCTTTATTTTTGCGTAAAATCGCCTGTTCGAGAAAATGATAGGAATGATATAATAATAATTAATTTCAAGCATCAAGGTTGAGGTAACAAACGCACTCATGTGAAATAATATTGAATGTTAAGGACACAAAATCGATACTGTCTCAATACACTTTTACATTGTCTATTATAACGAGCATTCAATTGTTATATGTACAGTTTGGACGAATAAAACTATAACTACAATGATTACCAAGATACAAAGGCTTGTATGGTAATAACAAAAGCGTTACATTATATTACTTTGATTCATCAAGAACAAACACCCTGTACAGTATTTTAGACAAATATAATTATAATAATAATTACTGCTTGTGTTTTCTTTCTTAATATCCTCTTTAATATTTAATCGTTTTATTACTATCAGATTTGAAGTACTACTTTAGGGGTATCTAGTCATATGATTGGAAAAAACCTTAAATACAATGGCCAAGGAAGACCTGAAAACCTAGCAAATGAATAAACGCATAATTATTTGAATCAGTATGGTAGTACACCATTATAAGCTTCATATTGTTTATGTTTATTGTTTAATCTTTAGCAGCGAGTTGCCCTACAGTAATTTGGATACAATTAAGGTAAGTTTTTGCGAAAAAATGTGACCTTGTCATAGTCTTAGGGTTCAAGGATGAAGTGATCTAGATGGCAGTCACTTTTTAACCCAGATCGGTTATAAAAAAGACAAAAGAAGCGGAAGCCGCTTTTTGTACTTGTTGACTTACGATTTGTCCGGAGCAATACGCGCAGGTGTTTCTTAAAACTTAAACGTATCCACCTAATAAACTCCTTTTTTTTGTCGTTGTAATGCAAAATTAAATCGCAATAATTATTGCTATAATCGTCGACTTATTTAATGAATTTTATAGGTCCTGGTAAAGACGTGAAAAAAAAAAGTGATTGTGTAATTTTAACTAGAGGCAGTATTATAACATTTAAAACGTTTTACTGTTGTAAAACACAACAATAAATAAATATTTGCAAAGTTAATTAACGAATTTCCGTTTTTTTAACTGTAAATTATTGTTTTTTGTTGAATTTATGTACTTTTAAAGTTACTGCCGCGGTAAGTTTTAATCAGACTGTGATGCTGATAAATATTTGAATGCATTCGTTTGACAGAATTGTTATCTAAAAAATAAATTCGGTCGGGAAACCTTGGCCTATATTTTATACGGATGGTAGGCATGCATAATAAAGAATCCCGAACCCGAAATTTAAATAAATATGCCAAAATATAAAGGGTAAAAAAGAACAAGTTATTTCGAAATCAATTTTCTTCGCATTGGCTGTGATGAAAACTATACAACTTAAGGATACACACATGCTGTATACTCTTAAAGGGATTTTTGACTAGAAGTAGACAGAAAATATATATACAAAGGGTTACTAATAGCACTGCCTTCTAAAAAATAACCCACGCGGGGTAGACTGTAGAAATTACAACAGCCCTTTAAGACAAACGCAAATAAATATAATTTTGTATGTTCTTTCATAATACAGTAATATAGAACCTTGTACATATATTTTAATTGATTCCAATTTAGAATACGAGGGTGGATTGATAAGTTTCCGGCCTAACCAAGAGATGACGCCACTAGGCCTACCTTGAGGTGACATTCTATAGTACCATCCTTGGATAGCTTGTAGCTATAGTTTCAGCCCGATCTCCTTGCTAGTGTAGGTTTGACAGCACGCTGAACAAGACGCCTCTGTGATTTTCGTAAAAATGGAAAAGCAGGAAAATCGTGCTGTCATGAAATACTTTTATTTGAAGGGGTTAACGCCGAAGGAAATTAAAAAAGAGATGGACTCAACACTGGGGACATCCTCCCCGTCATATTCAACCGTTAAGCAGTGGGTTTCCGAGTTTAAAAAGGGTCGTGTGAGCACCTCTGATGGGCCTCGCTCAGGACGCCCCGTTGAGGTCACAACTCCAGATATGATCGAAAAAATTCATCAAATAGTGCTGGGAGACCGCAGATTGAAAGTGCGTGAGATAGCTGAGACCTGTAAGATGTCATATGAACGTGTGCAACATATTTTGCACCAACATTTGCATATGGAAAAGCTCTGTGCAAGATGGGTGCCGCGTTTGCTAACAGTCGACCAAAAATTGATTCGAAAAAACATTTCTACCGCAAATTTGTCATTGTATAAGCGTAATCCAAGCGAATTTTTGCGTCGATTCGTAACCGTTGACGAAACGTGGGTCCACCACTACACTCCTGAAACCAAAGAACAGTCTAAACAGTGGATTGGACCAGGGGAACCAACTCCAAAGAAGGCAAAAACAATTTTTTCGGCGAACAAGGTTATGGCTACTGTTTTTTGGGATGCAAGAGGTATTATATACATTGATTACCTTGCAAAGGGTAATACTATCACTGGTCAATACTACGAAGACTTATTGCAACGTTTGAGCCACGAGGTGAAAATTAAACGACCTCATCTGGCGAAGAAAAAAATCTTGTTTCATCACGATAACGCACCAGCGCACACGTCAATCGTTGCGACGGCTAAAATCAACGATCTAAAGTTTGAATTGATGCCGCACCCTCCTTACTCTCCAGACCTAGCCCCGAGTGACTATTTTCTGTTCCCTAATCTCAAAAAATGGCTTGGCGGTAAGAGATTTGCGGACAATGAAGAAGTAATCGAAGCTGTAAATGGTTATTTTGAGGAGCTTGACGAATCAGTCTATAGAGATGGCATTAATAGACTGGAACACCGCTATGAGAAATGTATCAGCCTTGGAGGAGATTATGTTGAGAAATAAAAAAAAAAAATTTTTAAAAACCTTGTTTTTCTTGGTCAGGCCGGAAACTTATCAATCCACCCTCGTAACATACGGTAGAATATACAGGGTGGTAACTAACACGAATTTTATTTTTAAATCAATTGTCGTACCTATCATATAATGTAAAAAAACTTCTTTAACCTTAATTCTGTATAAATCCTTCAAGGATATCCTAAAAGCTCCCTGTAGGTACGATGTTTTTTACAAGAAGTACTTAGCGTGTTTATTGTAATTGCTGTAAGCAGTCGTGTTAATCT